AAACAAAACTCAACCATCAGACCATGACAAATTGATGTATTGTGCTCAACTAACCTGTTACATCTTAAGGTTAAATTTAAGTCATTTGTCCTGATGGATCCATGTGAGTCTGTTTGCTGAACCTGACATCAGGGTTTGGGATACTGATAGTAGCCTTTCCTATCTACTTTGAGAGGCCCGTGGCATGCTGTGCCAGGTAAGTGCTGGCATTTAACTTATGTTGTCTTGTTTAATTCTCCTAAGAAACCTTGAAAATAAGAATCATCCCTACAGATGAGACCAGGAACCTGCAACAGTTAGCCACTGCTTGGTTTCGACTTCTGCCAACAGCTGCACCAAGCTCATCTCGCCTTTCCATGGGGTCTCCCTGCCTCCATCTCATATCTCCAGTCTTCTTCCTCCTGAGGGGAGGGATAGGGGGGCTGTCCCACATTCTGCAACACCTTTTGCTTTCATTGGATTGACTCTCAGGTTCTAAAAGACGTGGTCCACATCTTACTGATTGAAGAATTCCCCAGGCTCAGAAGATTGGCAGGTGAGTAGCGAGCAATCCATACATGTGGTTTGTTGTAGGAATGAATGAATGTGGAAGACAAATGGAAATGAAAAGGGGAGAGCAAAACATTGTGATTAGCTTATGATTTTCCCCTTTATGTATATGTGTTAGCTGTTCATTTCAAAGTCACGTTAAGGAACTTAGCAGAGAGAGGCAGACAACAGGTGGGCAGATGCTGCCCTACTATGAGAGAAGTCTTCACTCTCCTTATCATATGGGCTCTCTTGTCTTGCCAAAAAGTGGGAGGCAGGGGACAGCCCTCGTGCCCCCATCTTTCTCGTGCRGATGTGGCTCACTATGTTTCCAGGCCACCGCAGGTTCTGACCCAGGAAGTGGCACTAGGAGCACAGGCCAGAGAATCCCGGACTCAACCGCAGGGGTGGCTGTGATCTCCAGGGTGCCAGAAAGCCAACTGATTAGCAAGCACTCTGCTTCCAGAACCTCTGATTCGATGACAATAACATGAAGAGTGAGTGCTGCCTGATTTCTTTCTACTTGGAAGCTGGAAACCCCTTCTCAGGATATGGAGGCTTAGCCTTTGGTCAGGAAGTGGAGGGAAGACACTCGTCCTGTCTTTGCCTTCCGTACCTCGGCAGGTCCAACCATCACTTAAGCATTCTACATTTTTGTGGGCTCGTTGTTTACTGGGAGAAGGACAGGTGTTTTAAACTACGTGATAAAAGGGATCACAACAGGGCTATTTTTAAAACCAGGGTTTCTGCAGAATGAGGTTGCCATGGGAATCTTTTATCACTGCTCAAACCAGGCAGGGTAAGTAATTACTTGGAGAAAATCGYCCCTAATGTGTGTTTTGCGTTTTCCTCGATGCTTAATCCAACTCCACTGCCCTTTTGTGATCGTCAGTGGTAGATTTACTTTTTTTCCCTCTTCACTAGTGATCTTCAGGTTCCTGGACTTACTGTTTCCCCTGGCAAGAGAGAGGTAGCTCTCCCTGGTGTGGAAGTCGGAAGCTCCTCCTTACAGGTAACCTTCAAGGAAAAACTTTTATTGTATCGTTCCTTTGTTCATGTGGTGAGAAGCATGATAAGCTGGCCTCTCCATTCTCTTTTTCTTAACATTCACAGAGGAAAAACAGCCTCAATTTGTGCAGGGTGTGGACGGTTTTTTTTTTTTTTTCACATAGAATGAAGGGTCTGGCCCACCATCTCACACTGATCAGCGTTTCCAAGGGCTACTGGGATTTGAACAGAAATTTCCTAGTGGGTGCTGAAAAGTGCTGTTTAGGGGGAGCTACGAGTTGTATGGTCCATGTTCAGGGTTTGGGCCTGTGTTTTGCTCTTTTGTTTCTTGGTGGCTTTGGGATTTCTTAATAAAAATGAAAAGGAATTGCCATAGTTAAAACACAAGCCCCAGGTTGCTTTCTCTGATTTCTGTTTCTGTTCAGTTCTTATCATTGAAATCCATCTGCAAGGGGCCCCACTTCAAATTTCCCCAACCAATGAGTCTCAACAGAGATGAGCCATCCTGGGTGAGGAAGGCCAGCAACCTGCCTGTCTGCCTTCTGGTCACCTAGGTCAAGTCAAGGCTTTAAGAAGGGACAGGTGGCAACCTGGGTAAGGCTCCCACTGCTCCTGCCCCAGGGAACTCTGCCGCCTARACTCAGAAAGGGCAGGTTGTCTGCCTCTCCCTTTCCAAACTGGAGCATTTACCCAGACAAGGAATGCCATTAGCGATGAGCTGCATGATCCAACTGGACTTTACCAACATTTGGGTCACCCAGGCATAGACGAGATGAAGGGCAACGTGACTGTCACTTACAATAGTCTATGTTTAAGACAATGTGGGTTATGCCAACTGTCTTTATAGGGAACTGTCTGCAGTCTTCAGAAACTTCCCAGTCTCTTTATTAAATACTAAATTGGAAAACACCTGCGAAGCAGTGTCTCTGCTAACTCATTGTATTTCAGGAGATTATGGGATAGACTCAAGTATAAGATTACAGAATAAAACTCTAATTGTTACCCTATTTTCTGGTGGTTACAAATAACTCTTAAAAGAGAAGATTTTTTAAAAGCCACAAAAATAAACAGGCATTAAAAAAATTAGAAATGGCATTTAAGCTCTTTGACCCTAAACCAACAAGAAAACATCTAGAGAGGGATGTGGGGGCACAAAGGAACATCTCCCCAGGCTCCCTCCCTACTAAGCACTTTTTAATTTTTTTTCCTCATCAAATAAAAATCATTCTATCCAAGAAATGTGAGAGACATCATGCTTCCTTTTAGAATGAAAATAAGTTTTCATGGACTGACAGTTCAATTTTATGTTTCCTGTGGGATATTATTCCTAGTAATTTAAAAAGCAGGTGGTGGCTTTGTGACTCTGGGCAGGCATATCAGGTCTTGGTCCTCTTCCTGGACACAGGCGGGTACAACCCAAGGCCAGCCTGGGTGTTATTCCACCTCTGGATTGTACTGTACCCTGGAAACCAAACCAAACCACCACACACTGATCTGCTCTCTAGCACATGAGAGTCAATTTCAGACAGATTGTCTGAACCAAGCCACTGTCTGCCACTTGTTGATCCATGGACGTGAACTTTGGCTTCTGTGCCCTGCTACAATGCTGAGTGAATCCGAACTGTGAAGGGCAGTGACAAATTTAATTTTTTTTTTAAAAGCAAACTAAAAACCTGTAAGGGGGCTGGGGAGGTGGCTCAAGCGGTAACATGCTCGCCCGGCACGCACAGGGCACTGGGTTCTATCCTCAGATGTTGTGTTCACTGAAAACTGAAAAATAAATATTAACCCCCCCTCCTCTCTCTCTCTCTCTTAAAAAAAAAAACTGTAAGGAGACTTAACAGCAATACCCACCTATTTCATGATCTTTCACTGAAAGTTAAAAGCAATGTGGCATTTCAGCTGAGATAAATTAGTGGCCAGGAAGACCAAACAGAAAAAATATCTCCAAGTACAGGACAAAACTGGAGAGAGGACAGTCCTCCAGGAGAAAAGGCAGCCCTAACCTGGAAAAGGAATGCTGGGCAAAGAGCAGACAGCATTGCCCTGAGCTCATACAGCCTGCCAACTGAAGAGACCCCCATGCTGGTCACTTCTGATGGCAAAAGACTTACAGGTGTCTCTTGGAAAAGTTTCTGAATTCCAGGAATGCTTAGAACATCTTAGAAACTTCTCCAAAGAAAGTGGCAAACAAACCTAACTACTTTCAAATAAAAGAAGAAAGACATTGGCAATGGATCTRTCTTCTATAATTTGGAGCTGTTTAGGTAGATGGGTAACATCTGTAGCTGACTAAGAGAAAATAAATAAATGGAAAGAAGGCAGGGCCAATCTACAGTGGAGAAGGTAGCAACCAGGGAGAAGTCTGGGGAGAATGTGGTGCTTCTTTGGTGGAGGGAATGGGGCCAAGGAAGAGGTGAGGCCAAAGGCCAAGGCACCCCAAAATAGCTCCTCCCTGGGGTGCTGGGGAACCGAGAGGAAGAAGATCCCGAGCAGGAAGGAAGTGGCGTCCCTTTGTCACCACGGAACGGTAAGATTTCATAATAAGCAAGAGACAGAGGTGGGAAGGCTTTAAGGGAATACAATGAGCTCGGAATTCCAAAGTGAAGTACTTGCCAGTGAATTAGATGCTTTTGTGAGCTCTAATGTCTCATCGCTTATGAACTCTCTCATTGTTCCTTTATCTTCTGGCTAATCATACTCCTGAACCTATTCGGAGTAGGTGATTAAACCAATACTGTAATATACACACGTACATGCGTACATACACATAAGCATGTCCACGTGTGGGTGTATATGAGTTCACCTGTTGCACCCGAACGACACACTGGATGTCTTACATCATTTTTAAAAGCAAAGGAATGGGAAATTACACTTCTTCAAAAATTATGAGCTAAATTTGTCTTACGTGCATGTGGTTCCCTACTGACACTTTACTGTGGAATTTGAGAAAAAAAATCTATTTTTCAAATGATAAAGAAATAGGTAAATCAGAAAATGAATAAGATAACTCACACAGATAATTCCTGCCGCATAGTGAGCACTCAACAAGTGGTAATAAAATAAGTCMATTTTGGTGGATTTTTAAGGGCAGGTGCTCTGGTTCTGCCCCCTGATCAGATAAATGTACAAAGCCCGGTCACTTGTACATGGCAACACACAGGGTACCGCTGAACCTGGACTGTGCCTTGCAGGTGGAAGCCCTCCGTTCTGTCCACTAGGAATGGGAGGCAACGAGGGATTCAAAGTCACCAGGCTGCCAGGTGCACAGCTCCAAGGCCGGCTTAGGGAAATGCAAAATTTAAACTCATAAAAAGTTAAAAGGCTTAATGATTTCTTCTCCAAATAGTTTCTTCATTATTCTCTTGCCACACTGGCATCCAGAAACCTAAATAATTATGTGGTTCTTTTCTCTAACATATATATGCTTTAAAAAGTTGGGTCATTTGAGACAGCAGTCTTACTTTTTGATCAATGTACTTGTTGTCTTCAATGGCTGACCGTTTGGAGTGATCACAGGATGAAGAAGAGGCCGAGGGGAGGATTCTGAAGAGACAGCAAGTATCCTGTTGCTGGCGATCAATAAACTGCTTCATAAAACTTTCCCTTTGCAAATGAAGTACACACACATCAAGCATTATTAATGAAATGGAGCAGGTGATGGCATTTTGCAATGGGCTAGAGAAAGCAGTGACAAAAGATCATAGAAAACAATACATGTCACACAGAGAGTGGTGTTTAGATTTAATTACCAAAAACATTTAATTGAGAGAAAGCCTCCTCACCGACTCCTGTTTTAAAAAAATAACGTCCCTGAAACAACTTTAGAGCAAGGATATTCAGTAATTGATGGCATTTTTTGAATCCTATTATGGTAATAAGATACTTTATCTTTCCTCTAAGACTTGAAAGAATTAATTCATCTCTCCAAACTTCCATTCATCATAAAAAGCCTTGAAAGATAATTTTACATTTAGAGACTCAAAAGAAACAGACTTCCTCTGATCTCTAAAACATGGTAAAAAAAAAAAAAAAAGAAATTCAAGTAGCATCTCTCCAAGTAATAAAATTCAATTAATTACTTTTGTTTATATTTTTAGTTGGAAATGCCAATATGGTGACGTGCCACATAAAGACACTGTGGCTAACAACGGTCTGTGTATTGGGTGGTTCCCTGGGACTGTAGGGCCTAATGATACCACAGTCCTCTCGGTTTGCATAAATGTACTTGAGGGTGTTCACCCAATGAGGAAAACCAGAGCACGTCCCTGTCACTAAGCCATGCACAACTATGGTTTTCTGATTAAGTTTAAAAATATGGCTCCATATCCAGCCTCAGACTCTTTGCCCCTTCTACTGAGTGCGTTTCTCCTATGTGCTGAGGGTCCCAGGCTGGCCTCTGCCTGCCATCTCTGTGACACTGAGTACCTGTGCCATGTACCTGGACACCAGGTCCCTGAGGAGCCGTCTTGAGAGAAGCAGGGGTGGCCTGGTGGCCTGGCTCCTGCAGCAAAGGGTGCCTCGTCTCTGAATAGGCTGCTTTTTTCACAGGGGTCAAGGGCTTTAAAACCGAGGCAGAATGGAAATTTAGAGAGAGGAAAAAATCCACCCACATGTGTGTTTGAATGAAGAGCCAGATCTGATCTAAGATCAACCTGTTACCGTGTAGTCAAGATATACAATTAAAGAAATACTTGAATACCTGATTTTAGGAACTGTAAAATCTGAAGGAAGTTTTGAGATTTTCACCATTTGCGGTCTGTTTGGAAACTTTTCAAAGATTCGCAGGCGCAAAGGGAGCTTTTCTTTGGTGTCTGCATTTGCTTCACTTTGTTTTAACTAAAAAAAAATAGAAAGAAGAAAAAAGGGGGGAACCTATAGAACTGTTATAGAAAATCCGTTTTAGAATTGAGGGGACAATGAGTAATTACAAAAATGAACCACAAGGTGGCAGCAAAAGCCCACCAAGCATAACCCCTCCTCAGCCACCTACACTATTGCCATAGATGGTTTTTTATGTGTGTTGAAACTTTTCGGTTCTGGGGAAACAAACAAAATTTTACAAATGATAAAAATAAACAAAAAAGGTAGAACAGAACTTTGTTATTCTATTCCCAAATATAAACCTCCTTTCATTCCATATAGTCCATAAAACTTTTCACTTATCCCTCACGTACTTAAACAACAAAATTTGACTGATCCAAATTCAGGCTAGAATTAGAAATTGAAAGAATAAAAAGATGACAATATGAGCTACAGAATCATGCTGAGTGGTGATATTTGAAAAGTGAAAATGTCAAGAAAATTGGTCATGCAATCTAGCAGATTTAAAAGTTCAACATRAAAATAACACACTGACCAATAAAACAAAAGTATTCTCTGTTTGGTTGTAAAGATGCTTGGGAATGACTGACTTTAAATTATCTTTGTGAAAAATGGAAAGCAAATGACATTCCCTTATCTAGCTATTCATCTGCTTATGATATATTTACATTTCTACAAATTGCTTTCGGGGGCAGCTGAGGCTTAACCTCACCAGCAGGTGCCGATGCTGGACTAAGGAGAAATTAAGAGGATCCATTTCAGCTGATGGAATTCATTCTGCACTTTCTTTTCCACCTTCCATGCTGACTTGTCTGGGGGGTCCTCTTTGCTTCTCTTTCCTCCTTTCGTGACACCTCTCCGTAAACGGGAATTTATTGTCATGGTTGCCTGTCCCTGCTCTGGCTTTCCAACCTGCACCTTGTAACACTGGGCCCCTTCAGAGASCATATTTAATTCAGACAGCTCTTTCTGGAAGGGCTGGGGAGACATCTAAAGCCATCCGCCTGTTACTTCAAAATTGCCATCTGTCTCAGGTTGAGGGAAGATTAGCAGGAAAAGTCTGGAGCTCTGGTAACAGGAATAGAGGGGGCAACTCTTCCCTCTAACCTGCAGCACATGGAGACGCAAACAGGCCAGAGGGAACAGGGGTGCTGCATTTTGAGGGGAGAGCCCAACTCTAATATGATTGATGTCTCTGCTGTCCGTCTGGCTGTGGCTTCATGGAGAGATTGCATGTTCTGATTCCTGGTGTTCCCCTCTGTTGCAGATACTGCTCTTCCACCTTTGTTTCGCATATCATCCCCGTTTAATCTCAGCCATTGTTGCTCCTATTTAGTCTGGCGGGCAGCCTTTGCTTCTCTGTCTTAGATGGTCATCTCAGTTAGGGGAGGGGCCATGGCTGCTGGCTACTTCCCTCCCTCCCTAGGAGAAGCCTCAGCATGGCCGTGTGCACAGAGGGTGTGTTCTTGACCATCTGATGGTCACAATGATGATAGCCAACACTCAGCTCCCAGAGGCACAGGCAAGAACCATGAGATGGGGACAATTTGAAAAATGATAAAAATGAAGAGACTTGTTATGAGAAAGAGACTTGTTTTCTATCAGGTCATTGACACAACTGGTAAAATATACTTGTCAGTGGTAAGGAGACCACGTGGAAAAAGAGAGAGGCGCTAACAAATTAAGGCAGACCACACAGGAGTTCTGTCAGGCCAAAGACAGGCTGATGCCACCCAGTAGAAATGAGGGTTTTTTGCTGATTCGTGCACCTGCTGACTTTGTGTTGGTATGTTGATGCCGTTGAGCTAAGTCCTGTCCCAGCGCTAGGTCCTGGGCTAAGTTCTAGGGGGTGTTAAAGTAAATGTCACTGCACCTGCCCTGGCCCAACCCACTTGATAACCACGTAGATGGCTCTATCACAGATGATGACAATGAGGTGTAATGGCTTCCTGGTGGGGATGTTAACGGAGCACAGGGTAGGAAGCAAAGGGAAAAGCAAGAAGAAAACTGAAGACGTTCCTTTGACCTAGATTTCTTGGGCAGCAGAATGGCTACATGTGATTATGCTGTCATCACGGGGCCCCAAGTGTACCAGGACTGACTTGCATATTTTATGAGTGTTCAGTCTCTTCAAAGAGGTATGAGGACAAATGGTGCATGAGTTGGGATCCATTGTCGAAATGAAAACACAGAGCTCTTCCCTAAAAATCTCTCAGCCTGTGCACTACTTCCAGCCCCACCAGCACCTGCCTGGCCACAGACACCCCTGGCCCCTGTGCTCCCCATTAAGGCCCCCTCTGTGCTGGCTGTTTCTAGTCTGTTCTCCATTCTGTGGTTTTAGAAAGCTTCTCAATTTTCATCTTAAAACATTCTGGTGGCATCACACTGCTCTTCAAATACCTAACTCTTTTACTCTAGACTCTGAGGTCTGCTTTGGCTCCTTCACACCTGTGCAGCCTCAGCTTAACCTCTGTTCCAACCACATCTTGCAGGTCCCTCAGAGGTGTGTGGACCTTTGCACCTGCCATGCCCTCTGCTGAGCTCCTCTTCCACACCCTCTCTCTTAAATTTCATTAAATTTGACTTGTTTTCCAGTTCCCCTCACAGTTCTTAGAGAATTTTCCTCCGACCAACAAAGTCTTCCTCTTACAAGTCCATAACATGTTAAACTGAACCACATAAAATTGCTGAGCCCAGGATTCTGTAACCAGTTACCATGAGCCAGTACCTTAAAGCAAGAGATGCTGCCAACTCTCAGCATTCTAGGGCTACAAGTCGGAGACCAAGGTTTCTCCAGGGCCCTGCTCCCACAGGAGGCTCAGGGAAGAGCCTGCCTTGCCTATTCCAGCGTCTGGTGATTCCCAGCAGTCCTCGGCATTCCTGGGCTTGTGGCGCATCACCCCAGTACTGGTCTAGTCTACATCCTTCTTCCTGTGTGTCTGTCTCCGTATCTGTGTCTGCCTGTCCTTTCTCTGCAAAGGATGCCAAACATGGGACCCAGGGCCCTAATCCAGAGTGATTAACGCAACAGTTACCTCTGCAAAGGCCAATCGTGCAAGTAAGCTTCTCATCCAGAGGCTCTAGTTAGATTCATTTCCATTCCATTGTGTGACCACATGAACAATGTAACTCTTTTACCCATGACTGTGAACTCTTGAGAGGACTGGGACCACGTGAGGTCCTCATTATTCCACATCCAGTGCCCGGAACAGCAGTTGTCACAAAATAAGCTACACAAATCGTCACTGATTAAATAATTGTACTAACTAGTGGCAGAACTAACTCTAGCGCCTTCAGTTGGGAAACAAAAGAAAGGCTTTAAGGCACATCCCAAAGGGTGGAGGGAGAAGCACACGATATCTATTAAGTGACTGAATAAATGTGTCCCTGTGGATACTTGTGCCCTGCATTCATGGAATGGAAAAATTTGATTTTTGCAGCATTTAATCTGAACTGATGTTTGTCGTTGACAAGCTGATGAATGTTTAGACCAAGTTCAGATTTATACAATTTTAAAAAGGGATGTATTGGGGAAATGTCAAGTTATATTTAATCAAATATTCTAGAATATATTGTTTAACATATGTAAACTACCAGTATTAAAAGATAATCTTTCATGTTTTCAAAATGGATCTCATCTCATCCTAATTTGCATTAGAGATATTTATACTCCTGAGAGCCTGGAAACACCTTAGGGGCAATATTCCATTTTTAAATTTACTTCCATATCACCTTCTAGAGAGCAGAAATGGAATAAGTGTTTGGAAATGAAGTAGAGCTCGGCACGTGTTGGCCCCTTCACTGTAACCCTACAAAGAGCAAATAAGCAGCTCTTCTGCCTGACTCAGAAGCTCCTTCAAGTCGTGCAAACTCTCTCTCTTCTTGACTACTGTCTAACTGGCTCCACAGATGTGCAGAAGGGCCACTCAGAAGAGGGCAAGGTGAGGGCTGCTTGACTGGCAGACGCACTGGCCCTCCCTACAGGGCAGTGAATTGCACACGGGCCTCTTCCTAAGTGCCAGTGCACACACCATGCTTTCTTTCTTCTGTTTTTAACAGATAAGCAGCATCAACTAAGATAAATACACACACACACACACACACACACACACACACACACACACCCTAGGCCCCTAGGTGCTGGAATAGCGTGCATACCTGTGCCACAGCTGGGCCCTTGTATGCCCACCCACCACAGTGCCATTTGTAAGAGTCCCAACTGCCAACCATTCAAATGCCTATGGGGATAGATGGAAAAATAAATCGTGGTTGATTTAAACATTTTGAGGGAGCTGTATGGCAACACAAGAATATGGGTGAACTGCCTAGCATAAGGCTGGTGAAGGTGGGCAGACGCAGAAAAGGGCACACTGAACGACTCCACTGAGATCAGTTCGAAGAGCAGCACGYACCCATCTGTGCTGCACAGGGTCAGCGGAGGGGCTGTCCTGGTGGGGGGAGATTGCTGGCTGAGAGGGTGCTGGGGCTGGGGCCGCTGAGGCATAGTGGGCATTTCTTTATTTGTTGTTTTTAAAAAGTCAGCAAAATGCCTCTTTCTAGGTGAATATTCTAGTTCAGCACAAAGTTAGGAAAAGGGGGCACAGGATGCACAAAMCCTCTGATTCACACTTCACTGCTGTCCTTCACTGCCACCTAGACCACTTCTCCCTTCCAGGTCCCTGAACTTGACCAAGACAGAGACAAAAAAGGAGGGGCAGCAAGATGGGATCGGGGGTCATCCGGACACACAGAAGCCTTTCGCGGTACTCTGAGGCCACTCAAGAGTTTCTTCAAAATGTAACACAATGATATTCTACTTTATATCCAAATTAYTTCTCCTTCTTGCTTACATGCAGATTCTCCAAGATTCAATCCACTTTGATGCAAATGAGCAGATAATACCAATATTAGAACTGGATACGAATGAATCTAAGATCATTATACTCTCCCACCACAAGTAGACCTTTTAACATAATTATAATTGTAAATGTCCATTAAAAAATTCGAAGATCATG